AGAATGGATATAAATTCTCTGGAAAATGTACAAAGGAGGATGACAAAGTTGATCCCATGTATCAGAAACCTTCCCTATGAGGATAGACTAAGGGCCCTGAATCTGCACTCTCTAGAAAGACGTAGAATTAGGGGGGATATGATTGAGGTGTATAAATGGAAGACAGGAATAAATAAAGGGGATGTAAATAGTGTGCTGAAAATATCTAGCCTAGACAGGACTCGCAGCAATGGTTTTAAGTTGGAAAAATTCAGATTCAGGAAGGATATAGGAAAGTACTGGTTTGGTAATAGAGTTGTGGATGAGTGGAACAAACTCCCAAGTACCGTTATAGAGGCCAGAACGTTGTGTAGCTTTAAAAATAGGTTGGATAAATACATGAGTGGATGTGGGTGGGTGTGAGTTAGACCTGATAGCTTGTGCTACCAGGTCGGTTGCCGTGTTCCTCCCTTAAGTCAATGTGACCTGACCTGACTAGGTTGGGTGCATTGGCTTAAGCCGGTAGGAGACTTGGACCTGCCTCGCATGGGCCAGTAGGCCTTCTGCAGTGTTCCTTCGTTCTTATGTTCTTATGTTCTTATGTGCGTGAGTTGGAAAAAGGTGTGGAAATTGTGTGGTAAGTATACTCCAGACCCAACTCCCGTTTTGCGGATTGCTGGAGTTGATGTCGCGGAACCCTTAGAAATTGCCACAGCAGTCGGGAACTATCTTGTCCGTATCTCCCAAGGGATTCACCTCTGTCCCTCATTTCTTGCATCTAAACTTACCAAAGAGCACTTGCCCTTAGATTTCTCCTCCGATGGGTTGGAGCCTTTTAATGTACCTTTTACTCTTCAAGAACTGGAGTCCACGCTTTCCATTTGCCAGCCGTCAGCACCGGGACCTGATGATATCCACATCAGTATGCTTCAACATCTCCATTCTACGGCCCTTCCCATTCTTTTATGTCTTTTCAATCTAATTTTGATGCGAGGCGTTCTCGCTCAACACTGGAAATCGGCTATTGTACTACCGTTTCGCAAACCAGGCACCTCGGGACCTGACACCTCTCACTATCGTTCCATCACCATTGCAAGGTGATGGAACGATTGGTGAATAGACTTCTGATGTGGTTCTTAGAGACACACAATAGCCTTTCCCCTCTCTAATATGGCTTTTGCAAAGGCCGCTCTACTGTAGACCCCTTGCTCTACTTAGATACATACATGTATATTCGAAATGCCTTTGCTAACAACCACTTTGTCCTAGCAGTCTTTTTTGATCTAGAGAAGGCATATGACACCACTTGGAGGTATAACATCTTAGCCCAAGCCCACTCCTTAGGCCTGCTCGGTAATCTACCAAACTTCATCGCTGTTTTCTTGTCCTATAGACATTTTCGGGTCCATATTGGTGCCTTGCTTTCCTCGGACTTTGTACAAGCTGAGGGAATTCCACAAGGTTGTGCCCTCAGCCCTACTCTTTTTCTTTTCTTTTTTTTTCTTCCATTCTTCCTTCGTATATTTAGTCATCACCTTATGTTGATGACTTCGCTATAGCTTACTCGGGCACTGACTGTCGATTCTCTTCAGGTTGTGATAGACCAAGTCTCCCATTTGACCACTTCTCATGGCTTTAAATTTTCTAGTACGAAAATCCAGTTCATTACCTTCACTAGACGTCTCTTATTCCAGATACTCCATTGTACTTACACAGTTCATGTATTCTGGCATGTGATACGGTCGAGTTTCTGGGTCTGCTATTTGATCGCCAGCTGACGTGGAGACCACACATTTCTTCTTTAAAGACAACTTGCCATGGTTGGCTAAATCTCCTTAAAGTTCTCACTCATCGTTCGTGGGGAGCAGATCGTCGCACTCTCCTCCGTTTGCATTCCACCCTAGTCTTGTCCAGGCTGGATTATGGTTACCAAATCTATTATGCAGCCTCTCCCACAACTGTAAGTTAGATCCCATTCATCACCAAGGTCTCCATCTGTGCCTTGGTGCCTTTTGTTCATCCCCTATTGAGAGCCTCTATGCAGAAGCGAATATTCCATCTTTGTCCGATCGCCGTGATGCTCATTGCCTTTGCTATTATGTTCAATCTCATGACCTCCACAATCCTTCCATATACTGTACATATAGGATGGTCACTGATGTTAGTAGACGTTCTTTATTTGTTTGTCGCCCCTGCTTACTCTGCCCTTTTTCTCTCCACCTTCATTCGCTCGTCTGCTCTTCAGTTGTCTTGTCTTCGGTTCTCTATGTTCATGTAGCATCTCACTTTTCCCTGTTCCCTTGGGAAGTTCCAGCTGTTCATGTCTGTTCTTTCCCACTGCCATGTGCGAAAGCCCAACTCCCTACAGTGGCTTCCCACTCTCTTTTTCTCGACCACTTCTGCTCTCATTCTCATGCCATCGCAGTGTACACTGATGGTTCTAAGTCTTCTGACGGTGTCGGATTTGCAGCATTGTTTGCGGAGAGTGTCGTGTGAGGACTTTTATTATTCTCGGTTAGCATTTTTACGAATGAATTGTATGCCATTCTTGTAGCACTTACCCGTATAGCATCTATGCATGTGTCACCATTTGTGGTCGTTTCAGACTCCCTCGGTGCTTTACAGGCTATACAAAAATTTGATACACCTCACCCCCAAGTTCTTTGTATCCAACTTTGGCTATGCCATATCTCTAGCACACACAAAGATATTGTTTTTTGTTGGGTCCCTGGTCGTGTTGACTTACAGGGCAATGAAAAGGCAGACACTGCTGTGCAGTCAGCAGTGCATGACCTCCCAGTTTCATATAGAGGTGTTCCATTCACAGACTATTTTGCTGAAATTGCTACCCACCTTGGTTTGATCTGCTCCATAACAAACTTCATTCTATTAAACCAAGTACGTCTAGGTTTCTGGCTGTCTTCTTGTCATCAGTGTTGAGATTGAGAGACTACTCTCTCCTGTCTTTGCATTGGCCACACACTTCTTACTCATGGGTATCTCATGGAGAGGCACCCTGTTCCTCACTGTGAGAATTGTCAAGTTCCAGTATCTGTTAGCCACATTCTGTTGGACTGTCCACACTCTCAACGAGTACGCAGAATTTACCTCCAATGTCGTCTCCGCTCTGCTGCCCTTTCTTACCTTCTCTTCTTGCTGATGGACCCTCCTTTAATCCAGACTCTCATTGACTTTTTGACAGTGACTGATTTACTACACAAACTGATGATGATGCCTCTAGCACTTTCCTCTGTCCTTTCTACCTTAATCTCTTGCTACTCTCTACCCCTGCACTATCTACTGCCTCGCTGCACTCCATACCCTAACAATCATCCCTCTCCCTCTTGCCACCCATTTCCTCTGCATCCTCCCCTGCCCTGCTGCGCTGTATAACCCTTGCAGCTTAGCACTTCTTTTTGATTGTAATAATTATAATAAGAATTATTCTTACAGGTAATAAATAATAAGGGATAAAAAAACTGGTGGTGTAGAAACAGACATTGCAGTTCAGTAGGTGATGGATAGTTTGAGGTCAACAGCAAGAACATTGGCTCTTATTTTATTTCTAAATTATACACAACTATGTTATTGTGAATATACATAAACCTTTGGAAGTCATAACTTTTCTGGGTTTCATTTAATATTAATCAATAATTTAATGGCTTTTATTAAGAAAGGAGTAGCATTTTCATTAAGATCAAAATGGTGATAGAGAAGTTTCAAATATCTTGAGTGAGCCAAAAATGTGTATTGTATCTGTAATTGTATCACTGAGGAATGTGTGAATGAGACACGACAGTCCTGTTTCAGTGCCTTTGATAGAGAGAGTCTTTCAACTAACAGGAGATCACTGTCTATATGCAGCATTGATTTGCAACCATATTATCAGCCAAGATTTAGGCAAATTTGATACAAATCAGTGTATCCACATTGCCTCATAATATAAATTGCAGTATCAACAAAGTCTTAACTTTTACACTAATAACTTTTTCATCAAAAACATTCTTTTTGTATTTTGATTTGCTTTACAATAAACTAAAATCCCTTCAAGGGAGGTTCCTTGACGCTGGTGAGGGGCTCTTGATCTAGGGAACTGGATCTGTGCTCTGGTTCTCTGAACTGAGTCTGAATACCTTCCAGCTTCACCCCCCCCCCCCTCTCATGCGCTGTATAATCCTATGGGTTTAGCACTCAAAATGATTAAAATAATAATAATAATAATTAAACTAAAATCAAATTCACACAAATCTGAAGTGAACAGTTCAGGTATTTATAAAACTCTTTATTATTTGTTTTTTTTTTACCATCATTTGCAGTTTTTCATCAAGGTTGGATAACCCCCGTCTGATACATTATTGAATACTACAAAAAAAAAAAAAAAAATCTAAACTTACACATTTGCTTATGCATGATTCTCTTAAGAAGTTAGGGTCTTTTTGTTTTTTACTTAACATCATAGCAAAATTATTAAACTTTGGTGTGTAATGAAAATTTATGAGATCTGTAAGTTAATGTAGTCATTAATGTCCATAGTTAGTCTGAGGACGTCTTTAATACTTGTGCCAAGATCATAACCAAGGTAACAGCCAAAACCTTAGGAAGAAATCAGTAATCTTATTATTCATTATCACCTGTTAAAATTTTACCAACTTTTTCTTCATGTAAATGACTGCATGGCATTTAACCATCTACACCCTTATGGGGGTTAGCACTTAATTTCATCATATAAATAATTAGCCATTTGCAGTATGTGTGTATAGTCCTGCAAAAAAAAGTAATTGATCTCTATCTAACATGAGCTTGATCACCAGTTCCTTTATATACTTAAACACAGAGTAAATGATGAGCTTAAAAAAATCTACTCTTGGATGACAACCAACAAACTCAATATAGAGAATTGTAATGTACATGAAGTACTGTATAAGCAATGTTAGACTAAGGTAACCTAGAATCAGACAATACCAAATAAATCCAAGAATGGAAGTGTTCAAATTACAAAAATAGTGAATAAAAAGAGCCTGTGCATAGCAAAACCATTTATTTAATTTCTTTTTTTATGGACATTAGCACAATTGAACCACATATCAGGGGTATTGGGAATTTTATTACTTTCAGATGTGTAAAACTGATGAAAACTTACCAGTACAGTATATGAAAGAAAAATATGCTTTTTAAATTTGTATTATTGCTAATATTGAACGTGATTTTTATTCATGTAATATTCAGGTTTGTATTGCTAGATGCTACACAGGAGCATCTGCTGTACATGATAGTGACCTGTTGAATGAATTGCTTTTGGGACTTCATGAAATGAATATGACATAACATGTGCTTCAGGCCATTCCTCTCTTGCGTATACAGTTTCCTGAAGCATTTAACAATTCCTGATTATTAAGAATTGTGGTGCTAACTTGATGTCCTTTAAATTAAGCTAACTTTGTGCTGCATGAGTACAGCAAGTTTTTGTTAAAGAAATTAAATTGCAAAAAAAAACAAATAATAAAACATCAGAATACAGTATTTATAAAACTGTATTTTTATAAATTAGTGTAATTGCTATTGATATTGAATGTATATTCTTAATGAAACATAAAAATGCTAAACAAAATATTAATAGAATCATGAATACCATGTCCCAGTGGGCTGCTCCCTGCCAGCTTATAATTCTCTTCATCCTCACCACATCAGTTCATTAACTATGAATTGGAGTTCCCCAAAACAGAGAAACTAGATCTGACATTTTGTTGATTATTGGAAAACAGGATACTGTACATGATTTACTGCACCTAATTGCAATTTCATAGCTGAATTTTCAGGATTTGCATTTTAGCTGGTCTTGTGGCTACTATAACACATGTAGTGTGTAGCATTCTGAAGGATTCCTTATTCAGTCCTGAAAGCTGTTCTTGTATGAATAAGTATAGTATGACTATGGAAATATAAACACATATGCAGTACATGTAGAGAGAATGGAGCGAAACAGAATGACTTCAAGAGTGTATCAGTCTGTAGTGGAAGGAAGGCGGGGTAGGGGTCGGCCTAGGAAGGGTTGGAGGGAGGGGGTAAAGGAGGTTTTGTGTGTGAGGGGCTTGGACTTCCAGCAGGCATGCGTGAGCGTGTTTGATAGGAGTGAATGGAGACAAATGGTTTTTAATACTTGACGTGCTGTTGGAGTGTGAGCAAAGTAACATTTATGAAGGGATTCAGGGAAACCGGCAGGCCGGACTTGAGTCCTGGAGATGGGAAGTACAGTGCCTGCACTCTGAAGGAGGGGTGTTAATGTTGCAGTTTAAAAACTGTAGTGTAAAGCACCCTTCTGGCAAGACAGTGATGGAGTGAATGATGGTGAAAGTTTTTCTTTTTCGGGCCACCCTGCCTTGGTGGGAATCGGCCGGTGTGATAATAAAAAAAAAAAAAAAATGCAGTATAATGTGATCCTTTATTGACTACGTTTCGCCCACACAGTGGGCTTTTTCAAGTCACAAACAGAACTACCTGGGGTGGAAGGAACGCGAGTATTTATAGTCAGGTTCAGAGTGCTGAGGTCAGGTGGAGAATGCTGCATCTGATGATGTACCGAGTGGGGTTATAGAGTAAAATCTTGGGTAGCTTGGAAAGGAGATTGGACAAGTTTGTGAGCAGACCTTCTACAGTGTTCTTATGTGGGATAGCGATGAAGAAGCTTCTTGGCAAGTGGTTCAGCTATGTTATAGAAGCCACTATTCTGGTTGAAGTTGTCGGATATAGAAATAAGTGATGATTCCAGGATTCTTCGGTATTGAGTGTTGTCTTCTGTGGCGATAAGTCTTGAGTTTCTGTAGTTTATCAAGTGGTTGTGTGAATTACGGTGTTGTACGCAGGCATTCCTTGTGTCGTCAGACCTGCTTGCGTATTGGTGTTCTGAAATACGTGTTTGGAGGTCCCTTGATGTTTCACCAACGTATAACTTGTTGCAGTCATTACAAGGGATTATGTGGGACTGTGTGGGCGAAACGTAGTCAATAAAGGATCACATTATACTGCATATGTGTTTATATTTCCATTGTGTCGGTATTTTATACCATTTTATTTCTATAGTATGACTATGTTAGCAACATGACTTTATAATAAGCATGAAGATCCTACATTCCACAGCCATTAGATCACATTGACAGAATTACAAAGTGCTTGGGAGTAAAACAAAACGTTGATGTAACCTACATGGATTGTGCCATGGCATTTGATAAATGTGGCCCTGGAATAATTGCTCATAAAATGAGGTCAGTAGGTATAACAGAAAAGGTAGGAAAATGGACATTCAATTATCTAAGATAGAATATAGAATGGTAGTACACAAAACAGATGTATCAGCAGAGTAAAGAGCTCTTAACTCCTAGTACTGTTACTGTTTCTTGTCACAGAAATGAACTAACCACTTTAAGTATGAAAGTATCCTGAGCCATAGATAAAGAAAACTATAGATAGATATAAACACAGTTTTCCATTTGGCAAATGAAAACTAACATGATGTTCATTGGTAAATTTCAACTGCTTAGGTATAGGAGGAATGAAGACCTTAAAATGAGCATAGTATGCATACAGAACAGGTAAAGAACAGGTATTGTAAAAAAAAAAAAAAAAATCAAAGTAATATGTCATATTCTGTCATCTGGAAAACACAGTAATGCAAATGCATCAAAGGTCAGGAAAATAATTGTGTGGAGTATGAGAACTTTCAAAGCAAGAGAAGGAATGCCAGTGATGGAACTTTTCAAATCAGTCTTGCTCTCATGTCTTGAATATTGTTTTGTGCTCACAGTGCCTTTTAAGTTAAAAGGTAAAGAAACTGAAAAATGTGCAGAGGATGTAAACTACCTGTATAGAATCAGTAAAATATCTTAATTATTGGGAACATGTCAAAACACTTATTTGTTCTCTCTCGAACAAAATGAGATACCTGATAAATATTTAAACGGAAAATACAGTACTTGAAAGCCTGGTCTCTAACCCACACACTGCTATAAAAATTGCATGTAGTGAAAGATATGGGAGGAAGTGAAAAGCAATGGGGCCATGGGTACAGAGAACATTGTATCAACATACGTAGCCCAAGACTCAACACATTACCAACAGATATCAGAAATATTACAGGAACAATGATTTAAGTTTTCACGAAGTTTGACACCTACAAGTGCTGGATCAGCTAAGTTGTGATAATAATAGGGGCCTTCAGGTCACTAGCACAAATAGCCTAATTGGCCCAGGGAAGCCTGGCCTCAGGTTGTGTTGCAAGGGTATGAGCTGTCAAAACTGGTTACAAGTAAAGGTTTGCAGTCCATGGGCAGTAACTGCCCATGGATTGCAAGTCAACAGGAAGACTAACCTAAATTTGGGCTGAAAGAGTAGAACCCTTAAAAGTGATCACAAATATGCCACTGATGTTATTCTGTTTGTGCCTTTTTAGAGACAGATTGGGAATGATGTCCACTTGTTGTCCCTTTTCTTTGAATGACACGTGAAGTTACTCCTTATGCATAGCACAGTACTCCCAGTTTTATTTCCGTGTGCTTATGCTGCTCTAACTCCAATAGTCACTTTCACGACCCTTATTACAGCTTGGTCAGGTCTGTACCAAGGTATCCTACTTTCCTCCTCTTACTCTTTTCATTTTCCTTTCAAACAAAATAAGCCATCCATTGGAACTATTATACTCTCTCTTATGCCTTCTGCATTTATTGGCCAAATAATCTATTATGGGGAACTTTATCAAAGATTTTTTAATTAGAAATATATTAACCTGTTTCTTGTATAATTTATTTACAGTAATTATGCAGCTGGAGAATTTATGTAACCTAATAAATTCAATATACAGTACAAAATTTTGTGTAAAAGAAAGCACTACAAAACTTTTATTTGGATTCCGACACAGTTGTTTTAGAAATACATTTCTTTTCTAAATATTTCTCACTCTTATTGTAAAATATTGAACCAGTTCTTGGGTATTTCTGCTGCCTGTTGGATGTGTAATAGTATTTCCACTTGAAGTGTGACATAATTAGCATTAATGTTGTATGCATAAACATAGCATTGGTTTTAAAATTTACAACATATTCAAGCTCCAAACAATGTATACATTGTCATGAATCCAGAACTTTTACAGTAAATATTTACAGGTCTGTTTTTTACCATGAAGACACAGTATTAAATATGATGTGCAGTATTTTCATATTAAGTATTTTAAGATGGTATCTTAGGATCTGGCACTCTCACCTTTAAAATGTCTAGTAAATATATAATATAAATACAGTGGAACCTCAAATATCGAACTTTCTTCGGTCCAGAAGGCTGTTCGAGTGCCTTTACCGAATGAATTTATTCCCATCAGGAATAATATAAATTAGATTAGTCCATTGCAGACCCTCAAAAATACACTTATAAAAGCACTTACAAAAATACACTTACATGATTGGTCGTGTTGGGAGCAGTTCGATTTTTAAGGTTCCACTGTATACAATTTAGGAACCCAGTTAAATAGGTTCTCATTAGTCCTACACTGAGTAAAACAAGAACTTTTTGGTCACTAAATAAATAAATACTAAGTGCATGAATGTGTTAGATAGGAGTGAATGGAGACGAATGGTTTTTGGGACCTGACGAGCTGTTGGAGTGTGAGCAGGGTAATATTTAGTGAAGGGATTCAGGGAAACCGGTTACATATTTTTATATAGCTGGACTTGAGTTCTGGATATGGGAAGTACAATACCTGTACTTTAAAGGAGGGGTTTGAGATATTGGCAGTTTGGAGATATATAATTGGGGGCCCTGATATTATATTCTATATGGAGTTTATTATATTATTTCAGGTCACTTTTTATATTATATCTTTATATATGCTTCTAAGTTGTTGTATCTGGGCACCTCTGCAAAAACAGTGATTATGTATGAGTGAGGTGAAAGTGTTGAATGATGATGAAAGTATTTTCGTTTTGGGGATTTTCTTTCTTTTTGGGTCACCCTGCCTCGGTGGGAGATGGCTGACTTGTTGAAAAAAAAAAAAGTATAACAGTTAAGCAAAATACTTATTTAGCTATATCTAACTGCTGAACTGCACCAGCAGCCACTTCTATGGTAGGTTCATATTCTTATTTGAATAAAGTTTACATGAACTGCAACCAGTGTATGTCACTACTAAGAGTAGTATTTAAAGCAGTTAGTAAATTATGTAATTTCAACAGTATATTTTTAATGTGAGAGTGTACTTACGGTGTCGCTTCATGAATTTGAAATCATTGGGACCAAGATGTTGATGGTAAACTAAACTTAACTTTTTAGATTAACTAGAAGACTGACATTAGCATTATGGTACCTGATTCTTAGTAATGATTAATGCATTGTAGCACTCTCCAGCTTTATTAGCCCTTTTGAAGTCGGTCCTGTTATACTACAGCTTTGAAACCAATGTCAGTCCTGTAGTACTACACCATGAGCTCAGCTCACTCGGATAAGCTGTGAGCAGTAAATTTTGGCCTAGATATAAGAGAATGGGTCTGTGCAGTAAGTATGCACCATACAAAAAAAATCTTGCAGCAAGCAGTGCATAACGGGGAAAAAAACTGCGACTGTGTTTTTGGTTTAAAACAGCAACTTTGCAGTGTATTTTCATGTGTTTTTTTTTATGGTTCTGTTCTCAGTTTCTTGGTCTCATTTGATAGAATGGAAGATATATTACAGAAATAGAGATTGGTTTTAGGACTGAAAATAGCTTGAAATTGAGTTCAAAATAGCGGAAATGTTTTATTTTTGCTGATGTTCAAGAGTAAACAAATCACGTCATGCATCCAATACACGTCAACTGGTGGGTCTAATGTGTGTTTATGAATGTGCTGATATTATTTATATGTACAATTTTTACAATATTGCATAACAGTAAATCTTCTATTTTTTTGTGTGAATAAAAATTCTTTTTTTATTCACAATCAAAATGGAATTCATGAAAACGTAACTATTGAAGAGAAAATGTTATTTTAGTGCCAGGAATGCCTGCATTGTTTATTTTGGACCCTGTTTTGAAATTGGAATATTTTGAACTTGTGTGAAATTGGCCAAAGTACCAATTTCTGATCACTTTATTGGGTAGTTGAATGGGTGATTTCTTGTGCTCAGTTAACAAAATGGAAGACATACAAGCAAAATAGCTAAGAATTTGGTCAACTGGAACAACGTTATTGGCCTAAAATTGGACTCAAAGTGGAGGAAATCGCTGATGCGTAAATACTCCTGACACAGCAAAATTTACAAAAGCATAATTTCGTCAGTTTTCCATTAAATTTTGTACTTTTTGTTTTATTTCCTCGAGAAAAAGATTCTCTACCATTTCACATTTTTTTTTTTTTTTTTTGAAAATTTTGCACTCCTGAGAGCAAGTTGGAGGGCAAGGGTCATGACCCTTAAAAGGTTAAACTGATCAGGAGAAAATGCCTTATATTGTATATACAGTATACATGGGATGGTTAGAACACTTGTAATCAATCAATACAGTGTAATATATGAAGAAATAGCAGACACACTGCCTAACCACTTATTGTGATTTACAAACATATTGGCCAATATATAAAAAGTACAGTTTTAGTATTTGGTTAGGCACCTCGTTTATTTAAGTTTTTAATGATTGTGTACATTAATGTACTGTATTTAAAATGATGTACAATACTGTACTGTATAAGAATGATTGTACTTGTGGTGGCTGTTAATTGTGCATGGAAATTAGTTTAGACATAGATGCTCAATTTTTTCAGTTATTATTACATAGGCTTTGCATACAACATATACGCTTGCATCTTAGATATAGTGCTGTATGACCCATACAGGTTTAGCACTCATTTTTGATATGGTTATTTTGCATCCTAGACAAACATTACTGTATAGGCACATAAATGGGGTCTCCTCTATGTGAACAGTACACAAAGTTCTTATAAATGTGTATTAAAATGTCTGCAAAATGTGTTTGAGGGGGAAGGGCAAAGTATATTTTTAAAGCCTTTTTTATGAATTTATATTAAAGCACAGTAAAATGTGCGCATACGATTTCAGGGAGGAGACTCGTAACTTTAATGGCAGCCACAAATGACTAGTAGTAACCTATGGTATACAATACATACAAAAAAGTTCATGGTACTGATAATGGTGTGCAAAAGTTTTGCAAATAAAGCTTGGGTGCTAATATTTACTCATAATTTGATAAGGCAAATGGCACTAATAGAAGAGCAGGAAGTAGAGCACTGGTGGCCAGCTGCCAAAGTTGTAATTTCATGATGCATGAAACATAGTACAGTATTTACATACCCACATAATGCAGCTAAATTACATACTGTAAATATTTAAAAAAAAAATCTTTTGATCAGTAAATAAAAAGAATAACTTATTTTATATAAATACTGTTATTGCACAACAATTTGAGCAGTTAACATTGTAATCATATTTCCAAAGTTAGTCTAGTCTATATTGCTTAAAATTTAAATTCATATATTGTATTGCAAATACTACCTTTCTTTGCCAAACACAGTATTTCATAATCCCAATATAGTAGTAATGAATGAATGTCAATGAATTAAAAGCACAATGGACAGAGACTTCAATCACTGATCTTGCTACCCACTTGGACCACAATTTGAGTCCCCATCCATTATTGTTTATGCATCTTCTTTCATAATTAAATGAGAATTAAAGAATATGGTACATAAAAATTACTTGTAATATGCCAAAACTTTATTTCATTTGAACCTGCTTGTTTTTTCATCATTGATAAACTTCAATTGCTCTCTACTGTACCGTTGCTGTTTCCATTTCCATTATCATTAGTGTCCTCATTTTTGGAACGAAACTTGAATAGTCGTGCTGCATGAACATTAAATGATGAAGATCTGACTGGGGGTGTTCCACGTTCTTTTCGTATTGGCCTGAGTGAATATGTGCGGACTGGTGGTGTTCTCTCCTTGACCTAATAAATGAATAGAGAATGAGTTACTTATTAGGGAAAAGACTGAGTTAGCTTTTGGTGCCTTTGGAAACCCTACTGCAGAAAAAAGTAAAGGTTTGTCTATATTGCTTGGCAATTGCTCGCTGTCTCATGTTAATATATATAACACTTTGCTTTTAGTGCTGAATATCCTACATGGGATTAAAGCTTTCCACAAATATAATACCATAATTTATTTTTTATCACATCGGCCATTTTCCACCAGGGCAGGATGACTCAAAGAAGGAAAACACATTCACCATCATCTGGTCAATATCTGTCTTTTTCGAAGTGCTTGGATATCACAATTCAAACAATCTACCAAACTGTAACATCCCCACCTATTCTTCAGAGTGCATGCTTTATACTTCCTGCCTCCAGAACCCAAGCTTTCACTCAGTTTTCTTGAATCTCTTTATAAATGTTACCTTGTTCACACATCAAATCCCAAAATTGATCCAGTGCCCAAGTCATCAGTCATCACCTTTCATGACTCAGACAATCAAGGTTGCATTGTCCATGTTGACAATCAAGACAAATTTGGTTAGATAATCAACCATCAATATAATTTATTTTTATTTGAAAAAATGCTATGCTCATCACATGTCTATTTGCTTAAAGTTAATCTAGAGTACATATACTGTATAGGTTCGTATAAGGAGATATCATTACAGGTATTGAAGAGTTTAGAGAAGCTTCCTACAAGTTAACATGCTCAACAACAAGAAAGGTTAATGGCTACACTGTACAATTACAGTAATTTAAACTTGGCAGCTTTCATTTTACATGCTAAAATGGTAGTTGTCTTGAAGGGCTCTTGATCCAAGAAATTGATGAAACTCTCTTGAATCAAAATCAGATTACGTCTCATTTCCCAGGTGCTATGTGACCCCTACAGGTTGAGTGCTTCCCCATGAATATAATAATAATACATGTATTTAAATAGCAGTTTAAAAGCCCATATTACCCTTTTTAAAAAGTAGTATATTGGTTCAAAGAATGTCAAATTGACTAGTTGTTCACCTTCATCCTAGCTTCCAAGAGTTCTTTGCCACGCTCAGACATGATAATCTTCTCTCTGGCACTACGCAGTTCATGGTCCAGTCTTAGTCTCTCACTTTCCAGTTTCCGCAAACGCTTCTCAGCTTCTGAAAATTCAACATCCATTTTGTTATTAAAGAAAATACTATTATTAGTAAATATATGTATTGTAATACTCTTCTCTACCCTCTCTCTACTTTACTCTCTCTCTCACATAAAATTTCTCTGATGTATAATTTCCTGATTTATCTTTACCAAAAACTACATGAGCACACAGCACAGGCATCATAAAAAGAAGTATATTTGGTTAAATAAAATGTAAATAAAATAGCCAGTATACAGTTCAATCTAAAATGCTGTACAGGGCCACCCTGACAATCTAAAAAAAAAAACTCTTGAAATTTATTTATAAAAAACATACACATACCACACATGCACCAAACATTTGGTTAAGGACACTTATGTAAGTTTTAACTCCCAGCAGTCATTTGAAATAGAGAAAACTGACATAATAATAATAGTACAGTATAAAGAAATTATTACTGAACATAGTATTGACTCACAATTAACTCTGAAATTGGAGACATCTTTAGATGTTGTTTTTGTCCTCCCTGGGCTGAATGACCCTTGTGGGAAGTGCTTAATTTTAATAATAATAATAATAATTGGTCCTCCCTGAACCAAAGATTATGATTCATGGAGTGGGTGTACCTTGGTGAAAAATAGCTCTTGATTCAAGGGATTGGCACTATCTTCCTCTTACCTGGATGAAACTAAATTATCTCCCTGTTCCTTAGAACAAATCTGATTACTTCCTATCCATACACACTGTATGACCTATATGGGTTTAACATTTCCTCATGAATTTAATAATGCTCTACAAGATTTTTCCATTTCCCTGATGCTCTCTCTGAGACCCTTACCTTCAACACACACTAACTCGCTGATTTTTTTTTAAGTGAAATGGAGCTGCTGTGTCTTCTTCTTTCTTTCAACAAACCGGCCGTATCCCACTAAGGCAGGGTGGTCCAAAAAGAAAAACGAAAGTTTCTCTTTTTAAATTTAGTAATTTATACAGGAGAAGGGGTTACTAGCCCCTTGTTCCTGGCATTTTAGTTGGCCCTTACAACACGCATGGCTTACAGAGGAAGAATTCTGTTCCACTTCCACATGGAGATAAGAGGAAATAAACAAGAACAAGAACTAGAAAGAAAATAGAAAAAAACCCAGAGGGGTGTGTATATATATGCTTGTATATGTATGTGTAGTGTAACCTAAGTGTAAGTAGAAGTAGAAAGACATACCTGAAATCTTGCATGTTTATGAGACAGACAAAAGACACCAGCAATCTTACCATCATGTAAAACAATTACAGGCTTTCGTTTTACACTCACCTGGCAGGACGGTAGTACCTCCCTGGGCGGTTGCTGTCTACCAGCCCACTACCTAGGAGCTGCTGTGTACATCTCTTAACCCTTAAACTGTCCAAATAGATCTATGTTCAAATGTGTAGTGCTCCAAAAGCAGATCTACGTTTTTTTACATATTTTCAAATATAACAAAAAAACCTAGATCAAAGTTTTTTTACACGTTTTCAAATGTAAAAAACAAAAAGAAGATCTACGTTTTTTTACATACTTTCAAATGTTGAAAAAACGTAGATCTACGTTTGGACAGTTTAAGGGTTAAACTTAACCTCTTTTTGTTTTAGCACAGCACACTCTCACATTTTTCTTCTGCCATCAGGTTCTTTCTGCCTTACAGCACATTTTTGTAAATACGTATACATTTATAAAAACAGAGCATCTGTAAAAGACATGTGATGGATTTTCTGCCAGAGAACCAGCTTATGAATGGCTATGATATCTAACAACAGAAGAATGAATTGTTAGTGTCTGCAAGGTAAACACTTCTATGTACTGTTGGAGTGTGAGCAGAGTAACATGAAGGGATTCAGGTGCACCTGTTAGCCAGATTTGAGTCCTGGAGGTGAGAAGTAAAGTGCCTGCACTCTGATGAGTTTCAAAAGTTTACTCCCTGAGCCCAACCATGGGCCAGGCTCGTCTGGTGCTAGCCTGGTCAATCAGGTTGTTGCTGCTGGAAGCCCACCACCCCACATATCCATCACAGCCTGGTTGATCAGGCACTTGGTGAAGATGCTGTACTTGTCCAGTTTTCTCTTGAAGTCATTTACACTTGTTCCAGCAGTGTTTCTGATATCTTCTGGTAAGATGTTGAATAATCTGGGGTCCACGAATGTTGATACTGTGATCCCTTATTGTGCCCACTGCACCCCTGCTCTTCACTGGGTTTATCTTGCACTTCCTACCATATCACTTGCTCTAGTATGTTGTTATGGCAGTGTGCAGATTTGGGACCAGGCCCTTGAGTACCTTCCAGGTATATATTATCATATATCTCTCTCTCCTCCACTCCAATGAGTACACATTGAAGATTTTAAGATGTTCCCAGTAATTTAATTGCTTTACAGGCTCTATGAGGGCCATAAACGATCTCTGCATTTGTTCAAGCGCTGATATTTCTCCCGGCTAGAATGGGCCCCGTCAACAATGAGCAATATTACAAACGGGGGAGCACTAGCTATTTGAAAAGTGTCACCACTGGTATTATTTCCCTTGTTTTGAAGGTTCTCAATGCCCACCCTGTCATCTTCCTGGCTGTTGTGATCTTTGTCTTATGTTCTTTGAAAGAAAGATCAGCTGACATAGTTATTCCCAAGTCTTTCATGTGTTCCTTTTGTGGAAACAATAAAGAACAATAGGGGACAATAAAGGAACACGGTATCAACATCCGGGGTTCCAAACTATTCAACATCTTACCAGAAGATATCAGAAACATGGCTGGAACAAGTGTAGAAGCCTTCAAGAGGAAACTGGACAAGTATCTTCACCAGGTGCCAGATCAACCAGGCTGCGATGGATATGTGAGGCAGTGGGCCTGCAGCAGCAACAGCCTGGTTGACCAAGCAAGCACCAGACGAGCCTGGCCCATGGCCGGGCTCAGAGAGTAGATAAACTCTCGAAACTTCAAAGGTATATCAAAGGTATTTGATGATTCTCTTGAGTTTTGTATACACTGTTCCTTTTGAGTTCATTCTTTCCATACCTAAGCAGTTGGAACTTATCACAAATGAACATCATGTTGTCCATTGCCCACTGGAAAACACTGCTTATATCTCGCAATTTTTCAGTGTCTTCTACCATACTGACTTTCATGTTTATTTTGGCGTCATCTGCAAATGATACAAAACTGTGACGGGTGTTTTTATCTATGTCTGCTTTGAGGATGAGAAATAGCAGCAGTGGCAGGACAGTGCCTTGGGGAACTGAGCTTTTTACCTCGCTGATGCTGTATTTTGATCTGTTTACTACTACTTTTTGTATTCTCTGTGTTAGAAACCCAAAAATCCATCTGCCTACCTTTCCCATAATGCCTATGGCCCACATTTTGTGTGCTATCACCCCATGATCGCATTTGTCAAATGCCTTTGCAGAGTCTGTGTTAATCACATCCGCATTTTGGTTGCCTTCCAACGTCTCCGTAATTCTACATAGCAGTTTTTTGTAAGTGTAGTGTTGGCATGTCTCTGGCAAGACAGTGGACTGAATATGATGAAAGCAATTCTTCTTTTTCAGGTCACTCTGCCTGTGTTAATAAAAAAATAAAAAAGACAGAGAGAGGTTAGTTCACCAATGTACTGGACAAGAGCAAGAAACAGAGTAAACACCAAAAGTAACAATGGGAGAAGGGAAAGAAATATGAACCAGATTACTACATACCTTAACACAGTATCCAGAAGAGGAAGGGTATTATTAAGTTTCTATAAATTAGAAACACAGAAGGCAAAATACAGGTGTCCTCAATACAGAAGTGGGTTTAGAAAAGAAAATCCTTTAGCATAAGAAAAGAGAAGTTTTTAAAGTTAATTAAGATGATAGTTGAGGCAGGACAAGACATTGCATAGGACAGAAATTTTTTAATCTAGAAATGGAGAACCACAAGATCAGGTTTACAAAGTCAGAGGTGTTTGACCTGCTGATAAACAGCATTTTGTCATGCTGGACATCTTAGCTAGGCCATATGACAGGTGTTGTGAGATAACATACTATATTCTCATTAAGATGTATCTTCAAAAATGTAGGGAAGAGATGGGCGAGTTAAGATACATACACTTATTTAAGATTTAAGCATACCTTTATCAAAGGAACCTTAGGTAAATGCTCTACATAATGATGAAAATATAATACATTACTGACAAGAAGATGAGGAAGACACATGTGCAACATGTGAGTAGCATTATTCTTCAAACATTTTGCCTCTTCTGGAAAGATGATCACATCATCTTTACCTTGCCACTACTGCTGTCTCTAGTTTATTCTCCTCTGTATTTGACTGAAGAAGCCTTCCTCATAGGTGAAATGTTTCACCAATAATGATACCTAACTGTTCCACATGTCTTATTCATCTAATATACATAATAGTTGAATAATGAAATAATGATTGTTGAATATTATTCTTTACCTCTGAGTTGGCTATCTTTCTCTTCTTGTTGAAGCTCAAAAGCTTGTCGTTTCTTTGTCTCCTCCTCCAACATCCTTCTCTGGTCCTCTTGAAGACGCTCAAGCTCTTCTCTTCGTTCCCATTCCTCACGCAGAACTCTTGCTTGAAGGTTTCTGAAAAAAAATTAAAAAATTAACTTTTTCTTTTTAAATTTAGTAATTTATACAGGAGAAGGGGTTATTAGCCCTTTGCTCCTGGTATTTTAGTCGCCTCTTACAACGTGCATGGCTTATGGCAGAAGAATTCTTTTCCACTTCCCCATGGAGATAAGAGGAAATAAAGAACAAGTACTATTAAGAAAATATAGAAGAAAACCCAGATGGGTATGTATATATGTGCATGGACATGTATGTGCAGTGTGACCTAAATGTAAGTAGAAATAGCAAGATATACCTGTTATCTTTCATGTTTATGAGACAGAAAAAAGACACCAGCAATTCTACCATCATGTAAAACAATTACAGGTTTTCATTTCACACGGTAGTACCTCCCCAGATGGTTGCTGTCTACCAACCTACTGCCTAGGATGGTTTATGTCTACCTAATTATCAATGTGAATCTCTTTACTTATTTTTTTATCAAATTGCAGAGCTCTACAAAGACACATTTAGTAGAAACAGCAGCCACTGTCCCACCTTGAGTCTCTATGAAAATTTATTGAAATTATGTTGGTGGAAATCATAATTACCTAACAATTTCTTCATCACGTTTTGCCTGAGTTTCCTCCTCAAGTAATGTTTCCAGTTGACGTCTCAGAGTTTGAAGTTCCAATACCCTTTTCTCTTCTGCTTGACGAGCTGCAGTCTCCTCACGAACAGCTGCCTCAGCTTGTGCTCGAGCCTAGGGATATAAAATATGGCTTGGCTATTGTTTTTTGCTCTTTTTTTTTTTCAACAAACCGGCCATATCCCACCAAGGCAGGTTGGCCCAAAAAGAAAACCGAAAGTTTCTCTTTTTAAATTTAGTAATTTATACAAGAGAAGGGGTTACTAGCCCCTTGCCCCCTTTTTTTGCTCTTACATTGCATAAAAAACTACATTTTTTTTTTAACACACTGGCTGTCTCCCACCGAGGCAGGGTGACCTAAAAAGAAAAACAAAAGTTTTTCTTTTTAGGTCACCCTGTAATTTATATAGGAGAAGGGGTTACTATCTCCTTGCTCCTGGCATTTTACAACATTTTGCAACATGCATGGTTTATGGAGGAAGAATTCTTTTCTACTTCCCCATGGAGATACGAGGAAATGAAGAACAAGAACTATTATGAAAATAGAAGAAAACCCAGATCGGTGTGTAAGTATATGTGCATGTACATGCATGTGTAGTGTGACCTAAGTGTAAGTAGAGGTAGCAGCATATACTCGTTATCCCACGTGTGTATAGAGACAAAAAAGACACCAGCAATCATATCATCATGTAAAACAATTACAGGTTTCTGTCTCACACTTACTTGGAAGGACAGTAGTACCTCCCTGGTTGGTTGTTGTCTACCAACCTACTACCTAGTTCTGTATATGTATTCGGATAAAGTTTAAAATTTATAAAAGCATTACAAAACAGCACAAAATTATGGAATAACTGTACAGTACACAGTGTACTGTCCATGTAATGTACTGTAATGTAATTTGTGTTAGTGTAATTACATGCATCTGCTAAAAGACTTGTATTTTTAAATACTGTACATATAAAAAAATTAGTTTACCTTATAATTGCAATATTACATTTTTAATGGATACAATGTATGAAATGTTACATAACAAAAATTTCATGATTTATTCTTGGAATCAAAGTAAAAGTTACAATCTCAAACAAGAAATGCATCTTAACAAAAACAAAATACAATTCAGTAAATTGTTATAGCTGCTAGTTTAGCTAAGCAGAATGCAAATCTATTGTTAATAATGACAACCATTATTTACATATATCTGTGCAGATATGTTTATAGTACCTCATTCTTTCTCTGGAGCTTCCTCTCAGGAGGTGGTCAGGATCAGGATTCTCTTTCAACATGATTTTTTATTTCTAGCTCACAAACATAAGATGACAGGTAAATCTTACAATCTTCTGCTTACATTTAGGATACACATATCTTTACCTTTCTGTGTTCTTAATAGTTCGTAATCCTGTAATATGTATTTCCTATCTAACCTAGGTTGCTGGGTCTAAGACTGGGCTGTGGGGAAGATAATCTCCAGAACTAGTAATTTTTAACTATATTCTCTGTCACACCTTCAGGCACTTAAAATTGAGAAAAATTAGACATGTGCAACATCTGGGTATCTTTACTGGAGACGTTTGCCAACCAATGGCTTTTATCAATACAAATTTATGGACATAACTGGAAGACAGTAGAACTATATTCAAAAGACAAGATAATCAGTTCCTCAGCCTTGGAGTTGGTGAAGAACATCAGTGTTCTTCACCAACTCCACCAAGGCTGAGGGACTGATTACCTCATCATTTGTATATAGTTCTACTGCCTTCCTTGAATTTGTATTGATAAAGCCACTGGTTGGCAAAACATCTACAATAAAGATACTCAGATGTGGCATGTGTCTAATTTTCACCTTTTCGGTATTTAATATCATTCATGTACAACTTAAAACTGTACACGGGTATTTGCAATTCAGTTTATTCTACAGTGGAACCCCAGTTTTCGTCCGGTCCGGTTATTGTACAATTCAGTTTTCGACCACTTTTTTGGCGAAATTTTGCCCCTGGTTTCGTACATCCGCTTGGAAATCGTACCAGACGCGTCCACCTGCCCACAGGATGCAGCCACTCATACGTTCGTGACTCAGTTTGCCTTTGTTACTCGTTCAGTGAGGAAGAGAGGGGAGACTATGCCTTCTTCAGCAATTAAGGACATTTGTGCAAGATGGAGTGAGGTACAGAGAAATATCACCCTAACAAAGCTGTTGCAAGCTGTGTCAGCAACATGTTCAATGACAATGCCGTGTCACATTTTAGGCACATCTTAAAGAGATGCCAGAAACAGGCCTCTCTGGACAGATTTTTTGTGCGACAGGGGTCCAGTGACTCTCAAGCTGGTTCTAGTGCCAGTAAAAGACAAAGAAGGGAAGTAACCCTGGATAGGGCTTTGATACCTGAAGTTCTTATGGAGGGGGATTCCCCTTCCAAACAAAAACCTCTCTTCCCTCTCCCCTCCTCGCCATCTTCCATATGCCAAGAGTCTTCAATAAAGGTAAAAGTGATGTTAAATGCTCATTTATCCATTTCATTAGTCATTTATATTTATTTCTCACTGTTTTCTGAATGTAAAACTATAGTTATTCTCTATAAAATGTATTTTTTGTTAATATTTTTGGGTGTCTGGAATGGATTAATTGGATTTACATTATTTCTAATGGGAAATACTACTTCAGTGTTCGTACAAATTGGTTTTCGGCCGACCTTCTGGAATGGATTAAAGACAAAAACTGGGGTTCCATTGTACAGTATATGAAGAAGAATTGATACAAAATTCTGCATGTTAATGTTACTGAAACACAGGTGAAGCAGAAGGGATATTAAAGACAGACTCAAAGTACAGAAACTAAAACAGTATCAGTACAAGATAGATTAAACTAGAATTAATTTGAATGGCCAAAACTATATGTACTGTACATGTATATGGTATATAATGTTAGCTGCAGAGCAAATGAAACCGAAGGAAAGGAAAAAAAAATGTGGGGGAGCTCTCCCTCTCCACCAGTGGTGTACAGGACTGGCTGGTGCTGTGTTATAACACTGTGAAACATGTAGAACAGGAAAGTCTACATAGCAAAGCAAATATTTATTAATTTGAAGATCCAGTATCTATGTAAAAATAACCACTAACACATATTTATTCATTTAACAAAAGTTATTTAACTTTTATGAAAACAAAAATCAAAATATTAACATACCAGTTTCTCTGCCATGAGCTCAGCCTGAGTATTTTCAATAATATCTGCTTGTGAGTCTCGTCGAATACGCTCAGCAATTTCTCGTGCTTCTTCTTCAGCATGTTCATTTTTTCTAACAGTTGACATGATTGCTTGATATGGAAGAGTTTGTTTGGAATGATGTATGGCAGCATCAAGAGCTCGTAACCATTCAGATTTACTCCTGGAGAAAAATGGAATTTTCATTACAAACATATGAATTAAATGCCAAAAGAACACTCATTGCAACCTTAGAAACTGTTTATCCATGTGAGATACAGTACAGTGGACCCTCGGGTAACAATGTCATCGGGTAATGAAAAATCTGATAGCGACACGTTTTTGCGTCAAAATACTGACTTGGCTAATGCCCAAGAACTCGGTTAAGGACATTTGCCCCGAACATGTTCGCGTGGCCTGAGTCCATGTACAGCCAGTGTGCCATTGTTTACAAGCCAGGGAGAATGATTCCACATGTACATGCAATATATTTCGTATTATTCTATTGTTTTTAGTGCTTATAACTGCTAAATAAGCCACCATGGGCCCAAAGAAAGCTTCTAGTGCCAGCCCTGTGGTAAAGAAGGAAAGAAATGCAATAGAATTCAAGAAAAAACTTGTAGCAAAGTACCAAAGGGGAGGAGGAAGAGAGAGGGCAGAATGTGCCTTCTGCAGTGATTCAGTGATTCTATGATATGTACAATACTAAAGCAGCAGGTATCGATAAAGGCTACAGTGCCAGCCAGCAATAAAGTGTAGAATTAACAGTGTAGTAAGTTAAGCTAAGCGATAGAAAAACGACACGAAAGTAACTTTCCAATGTTGTTGGATGTGTATAGGGCCAATGAACATAGGCCGCCCTGCTATCTTCCACCACTCTAAACCTCTGCCAGCATCTCCTCCATCAAACTAATTAAACTAACATCTCTTCCAAGGTAAGTGTAAATATAAATTTTTTCTTTCAACAAACTGGCCATATCCCACTGAAGCGGGTGGCCCAAAAAAAAAAATTAAAAGTTTCTCTTTTTAACTTTAGTAATGTATACAGGAGAAGGGGTTACTAGCCCCTTGCTCCCGGTATTTTAGTCGTCTCTTACGACACACCTGACTTACGGAGGAAGAATTCTGTCCACTTCCCCATGGAGAATATATATACTTAATTCATCTAATTTAGTGAAGTGTAAGGTGAGTGTGTGTATGTCTGGGCATTACAGTGGCATTCATAGGCAAATGATTAATGTTACAATCAATGAAACACTTTTACTGAAAACACTCTTACTTGATATTTTCTTCAGTTTAGCTTTCTTATAGCTTTCAATATTAGGGCCATTAGAGCCATACAGTACCTACCATATACAGTGGAACCTCAAATTTTGAACGTATCACTTATCGAACTCTTTGAAAATAGAACCCTTTTTTCGAACCAACTTTGTCCCTATTATCGAACTCGCCCCTATTTTCAAACCGCTGGGTGCCGGACCTGTCCAGCAGCTCGCTCTGTCCGCGTCCCCATGCAGGCGCCGTGAGCCAGTCTGGTTTTGTTGATGCTTGAGTGAACACTAACCTGCGCTCTCATTCGAACATTTTATGATTATTTCATTGTGTTTAGTGCTTGTGGGACTGTGAAATAAGCTACAATGGGAGCAAAGAAACTTGCTAGTGGTAAAGAAAGTTAGAAACACCATAGATGTGAAGAAGGAAATAATACAGAAGTGGAATGATGTCCAAATGTTTGTGGAGAAGTACCACCCTGAGCAAGCTGAAACAAGCCATCTTTGCAACAAGTTCAGTGACAGAACCATGTCCCATTTTAGGGAAATCTTAAAGAGGCACCAGAAATAGAGGACTGTGGACAGTTATTTTGTGAGACAGGGGTCCAGTGATTCTCAAGCTGGTCCTTGTGGCATTAAAAGACAGAGAAGGGAAGTAACCCCAGAGAGGGCTTTGATACCTGCAGTCCTCATGGAGGGGAATTCTCCTTCCAAGCACTAAGCCCAACTCCCTCTCTCCTCCCTATCTTTCAGATGCCATCACCAATCTTCAATAAAGGTAAGTAAAATGTTATTTTATATGTTTATTTAAATTTATTAATACATAATTGAACACTATATTTGTTGTGTGTATGTAAAACTATAATTAATCTCTAAAATATGTATTTTTTTTTGTGAATATTTTTTGGGTTTCTGGAACGGATTAATTGTATTTCCATTATTTCTTATGGGAAATATTGCTTCACTTTTCAGACTTTTCGAATTTAGAACTAACTCCTGGAATGGATTAAGTTCGATATTTGAGGTTCCACTGTAAGTAAATATCAGTGTAAATATAAAAGGACCCCAATGGAAATAAGTCACTCTGACTTTTTTGGGTTATCCTAGGTACTTTACACATATGCTGCTACATATGATAATCTATGTACGTTACTGTATTTGTGTATACCTGAATAAACTTACTTATTTATAAATTAAAATGTAAATATTTCTTATTTATAAATTCAAATGTAAATATTTCTTATTTATAAATTATATACATTGTTTAAGTGTGAACAGTGTTGGTGGCTTCTGCTGCCACCACCACCACCACCACCACTGTGTATGGCTTCTCTCAGTGGCCCTTATAAACCCAACAACACCATCACCACTTACTCCTCACATACATTATGATATATTTTATTCATTCTAGAGTATATATCATGTTTCTATGTTATTAATATTGTTTATTATATCATATTAGATGAATTGTCATAGATAAATAAGCCGTAGAGATGATATTAGCATCATATTGAAGCATAATAAATTCGCCTACCTCTCGCCTCCTACCTGCCTTCCATACACCAACAAGAGTCAATAAAGGTAAGTGTGATGTTAAATGTTCATTTATCCATTTTATTAGTGCTTTATATTTATTTGTCATTGTTTTCTGTATGTATATCTATATTTAATCTTTAAAAAAAATATTTTTTGTTAATACTTTTGGGTGTCTGAAACGGATTAATTGGATTTCCATTATTTCTTATGGGGAAAATTAATTAGGCTAACGACAAAATCGGTTAAAGACAAGCTCTCTGGAATGGATTAATGTCGTTACCCGAGGGTCCACTTTATATGGCAAACATGTGAAGTGAGAATATCAGGTAATAGGAAGAGATACAATGAGAGTACCATGTACATAATGCAATGGAACATGAAAGTTCCACTGCATATGAATGAACATGAGAGTACCTGCAATGTGAAAGAATATGTTGGTACTATTTAAGGTAAAGGAGCATGATGTCACTATCATGTACAGTGAAGGAACATGATGAGAGTACTAGGTCATGTAAAGGAACATAATTAGAGTACTATGTTACATGAAGGAACCCAATGAGAGAACTTATAATATGAAGGAACATGTCAGTACTATATAAGATAAAGGAGCATAATGTCAGAACCATGAAATGTGAAAGTACATACTGTGAGTACTGTGTCATGTGAAGGAACATAATGTCAGTACCATGTAAAAGGAACATAATGTCTACTACCAAAGAACACAATAAGAGAGTGCCATACTGTTACACAGAGAATAGGCAACCTATACATAATGCAAAAGAATAAACATGGTATCCTTGAATTTTACATTCATAAAGCTCTAGCATTTATGAACTATAAGAGTGCAATACAGGTATTCAGTGCTGTATTAATCAAGAAATATTTTAAGTTTCAAAAATATAATTACTACCTTAAACAAATTAAGACCATTTTCAACTACTGTTGTTTATAAGTTCATATTTTACTTTATCCAGTTCACATTTGTGTTAAAAATTTTATATTTATCTACAAACCATTATAGAAGTACACTAATTACAGCTTATTTTAATAGCTACTTGTAAAAATTGCAATGTTAATCTCTGTTGGACACTTGGAGACGTGAATGACCGCAGTCACTTTTCTGAAGAAAGAAATAACACATCTAAGATGACAGATAAAAGCACCTGTGGATATTTTACCTGTGATCAGTGGCAGCAAGTTGAACAAGTTTGTTGCTCTCTAAGCAGAGTGTAAATCTACAAGGCCTCACACCAGGCTCATCAGGAATGTTGTGGACTGTAGCCGAGGGAGTGAGATACACTCTAGCAAGGCCCACAACCTTTGCTAGCACTGCTGATCGTGCTTTAACTTTATGGCTAGAGGCAACCAGTGCCCAAGGTCGTAGTTCTATTTCACGCTTCACCCATATTGGTGCCCATGATACTCTCTGGTAAACTTTTCCCTGTATGAATAAAAAATAATGAATTTTAGAAGTTTATTTGCCAACAGTGTAAGCTTAAAGTATAAAATAAAGCATCACCATACTTGACATTATAAAAGCACAATTTCACAACTTAAAATGATCTCTATATACATATATTTTTAGTGCTTCATTCTGATTATAATAATAATCTATATACATATACAGTAACTTCTTATTCTTTTTAGTAATTATTACAGGAAAAGGAGTTACTAGCCCATTGCTCCCGGCATTTTAGTTGGCTTTTACAACACGCATGGCTTATGGAGGAAAGATTCTTATTCCACTTCCCCATGGATATAAAAGGAAAAGTAATAAGAACAAGAACTAAGATAAAATCAAAGAAAACTCAGATGAGTGTGTATAAATAAACATGTACATGTATGTTTAGTGTGACCTAAGTGTAAGTAGAAGTAGCAAGACGTACCTGTAATCTTGCATATTTATGAGACAGACAAAAGACACCAGTAATCCTACCATCATGCAAAACAATTATAGGCTTTCATTTTACACTCACTTGGTAGGACGGTAGTACCTCCCTGGGTGGTTGCTGTCTACCAACCTACTACCTGAATGGAAATAAATGGTATAAAATACCGACACAATGGAAATATAAACACATATGCAGTTTAATGTGATCCTTTACTGACAATGCCCACTGTGTGGGCGAAACGTTGTCAATAAAGGATCACATTAAACTGCATATGTGTTTATATTTCTACTACCTAAATCCTGGTATGTACTGTATATGTATATATTTTTTTTATTTATTTTTTTTAAATACATATACAGTACATACCAGGATTCTCAACCTTTTTAAGTGCCAGTACCTCCTCAGTTGTATTTTTTTCATATACAGTACTATCAAAATAACTTACAGTAATTACAATTAATTTCTTTTGGAAAATTTCTATTTTTACAGCAAAACAAATATAAGGAGAAGTAGATCAGATCAATGACAGTTATGAATAAGAACTTATATGCATTCAATTATAAACAGAAAAATACATTATTTGTCTTATGTAGTGGCCCTTTTCTTGTTGACATTTGTTAGTAATGAAGACGAAACCAGGTTCTTTTTTTAAGAAACAGCCACGTGTATATCATCACTTACATCAAGACAGTTTCTAGCCTTTGTTTTTATGTAATGAAGCATTGAAAAACCCATCTAACAAATATGTGGTGGCAAATGGCAAGAAAAAGTCCAAAGATTTTTCTGATAACTAGGGGAAAGTTTTGAGATGTGCACACCAGAAATTTTCTACCATCACTGATTCCAATTGAATTCCTCTATTAGCTTTTAGTATGACAAGATCATCTTTCATTACAGTAGGGCCCCACTTTACGGCGTTCCACTAATACGGACATTTCAAATTATGGCCAAAACTCGCTATACGGCTTCCCCCACCTGACTTATTAATACGGTCACCACACCCCACCTGGTTTGTTTACATTCACCGTGAGTTCCATGAACACCGTGTCTCTCCATTATGTCTGGAACCTTTCCAAAATTTCAAGTGTTTTAAAGTTATTTCATGTTTTATATGTACTCTGATAATTATACTTATGTGTACCTGTACCTAAATAAACTCACATTGTGCTGGCATGCAGGTACACATTAAAATCACTAAGAGTGTCTTATTAGTCTTGAGGATGTCATATTAATAATGATGATAATAATAATAATACGCAATAATAATCACTCTGAGGCGCAGATCTTATGAGCAAGAGATTGTAATAACTCACTACAATGGATACATTACAAATCTTTTCATGGAACATTGCTTTCCATCAGGAAGCGTTCCTGACTTACATCATATAGTGCAACCCAAGAATATGATGTCATCTGTTTGCAGAATGTAGATTAAAGATGGAGCACCTCCACCAACTTGCTGGATATGCAGCTTAAACCTAAGGTTCAACCTACTGTTGTGTGATGTAATTCAGAAAGAACTTGCACATTCACTCCTTTCCTTGCAGAGTCGAGTTAACATCAGTATCATGGTGTCAAAGTATATGCAGGCGATTTCATAACATTTTTAATCTCTATGCCCCAGCGAACCAGCTTCGACTGATCTTTACAGAATCGCATCAATAGTGAACCTACCAACATTCTGGAGATTTTTAATGCCAGACATAAGGAATATTGGTGGGTCCAGATTACAAACACCAATGGAACTATAACTAGTGAGATTGCTGAATGAGCATGATAATGTTAGAATTGTGGGCACTACTGAGCCTACCACATATATGGTGGCATACTAGATCCTGTGTCTTGGGATTTAATACATCATATACGATGCATTACTCAGGTCATAGTTGATGATCTTCAATCTGATCTTTCCCAAGACTAACAACTGTCACTCTTGATCAATCTCCACAATCAAGGAGCAAAATACAGGAGGAAACTTATTCTCAAACCACAACACAGAGACAACTTTATTAAACCACTTGAATCAATGGTATAAAGAATTACGAGCCCCACTGGCACACAAAAATTTAATGATATTAATTACCCACTATTGATATTGTTCTCACAGATCAAGTGGGCATGAATAGAAACAAAGACCCTCACTATAAAAACAATAAAAAACATGTAAATACTTAATGATCCACAGCTGCACACAATCTAACACATGCAGCTAGGAGGATTGGTAAAGCATACAGTTGAATGTAGAACCCCAACCTGCTCAGAACGTTCCAAGCTGCACTAACAAATGCAAGAATAGAAATGGACGAAACTTAGGCAACAGGAATGGGGGAACAGTTTTTGTTATGGATTAACTAGGTCCCACCCCTTTGAGTTTAGGCTTGGAAAGGTATAAATAAAATAACCAGGAACAAGACTGCAATGCTGCCATCCCTTTCCTCTTGAAAAAGCAAATGACCTCATAAATGACTGGTCCCAAAACATCCAGGCATAAGCCTTTCCATCTCAATTGAAAAAATTAGAGAGTACTTTCTGAAAAATGTTGAAACTGAATTAATTTTATGAGCCAAAATATTGATGAGAGTGATGCCTCTTTTACCGAGTCTGAATTATATAATGCTTTAACCAAGGTCGATAACTGCTCCGGAGAGGATGGTATAACCTATGATATTCCTCAGAACTCTAAGGCACGTGCCTGATAACCCTTGTGTTTGGCACTGGAATAATCTCAGTTTCATTGAGGGCGTTCTTCCTACTTCCTGACCAATAGTCTTCATTGTGCCTATCCCTAAGCCCCAACAGCCTTGATACATTTAGCCCGATCTCCTTAACTAGTTGTCTTGCAAAACTTTTGAAGAATGATGCTAACAATTGTACTACAGAATCATACATCAACTTTCCCCCTACCTCTATGGGTTCATGTAAAGGTAAAGTGTGCAGAACTGTATTTCTCTCATCCACCTTTCCCACGCACACACCTCACTAGTTTTAACCACATTTCTTGATCTAAAATCTGCATTCGGATATTGCAAACAGAACTGTTATACTACATGAACTAGCAAAATGAATATTGGGTAAGGTCAGCTAACTCTGCTGGATAAATAGGATACCTGTCAAATAGAGTATCCTCCTGTCCTTACCAAGGCTTCAGAAGTGATTCTAAAGAATATGACTCTTTAGGTCCAAAACCCGCTGGAGGGTTCTAGTCCCCATGCTATTTAATATTCTGATTAATGCTCTCCTAAAATGCTCTACCTGCCTCCACCTAAACAATATAGCTATAAGCTAGCTGATGATATCTGACCCATACAACATGGCAAAGAAAGATGAATACCAATTCGTTAATGAAAAGTTCAAGAATTTGTAATCAACGAGGCCTCATAATATCTTCCACTAAAACAAAGATATAACACGCAAACGACATCCCCCACCCATCTATTGTCAGGGTGAAATCATTAGCTACGTTAAACTTACAGATATCTTGGGTGTAGAGTACCTTTAACAAATCCACTAACCACAACTAAACAAGAAATGTAAGCTAGGCTAAATGCTCTCAAAAGCTGTTTGCTGCTACAATCCCAACTATGGTGGCTAATGTGTGATCGGAAATGATGTACATAGCCTATGTTTAGTTCCTTAATTGATTATGGCTGACACCATGTTGAATTAGCTAGAGAAGTTTCCCTCCAACCCTTGGAGTTAATCAAAATGAAGCTCTCAGACTATTCTTGGCTGTCCCAGATCTACAAAAGTTCTTAACATGAGGAAGGAGCTTGGTATTTCCTAGTATCTAGAGGATAGGATTGTTTGAAATTAACACTGTACTCGGTATTAGAATGTTGAGAATCGAACGCGACACTGTCACAGTGAATCTACCAAGTTCTAGAGTAAATACACACAGATCTAAATGGATTTGTGAAAACGTCAATTGCATTAAAGTTTTATAACCTGCAGAACTGATATCACTGTAGGCAACAAGAGCAAATCACCCTCATGGAAGATGTGTTCATTTAATATCACATACCTACAAGCCCTCCCAAAGAAGCTCATTGCTATAATTCCCTTCCTTAAATCCTCTTGTTAAGCAACTGCTCAAGAAGAATTTTTCGCCTAGCTTAGTAATAATTATCACAAGTTATATACACTGATGGATCAAAACAGGAGTCTTCTGGCAGGGCTGCATCTGCTCTGTTGCCACCTCCTAGTTTAAGAAACGATAATAAATTTGTTGAGTTTATGCATAAGAATTAACAACTGGGCGTCGCACACTGCAAACTAATTGTTTTGCCAATCCTTATGGCGATAAGCTAACCAATGACCCTGAGCTTGAACTCTACATCATCCTGATTCTATGTCATCATTGAAGCTCCTTGGCTCATATTAATGACTCCAACAACATGCTCATTGGGGGAAGCCAGGTATAAGTTACTCAAAATTAGGGACAAGGAATTAATGTACAATTGCTATGGATCCCATCACACATTGGGATTACTCCTTCATGATAAAGTTTGATATTGTTAGCCAAGAAGAGTAATCCAGAAGGAGAACTTAGAATATAACTTTGGTATAACTGTGTTCTAGCATTAGGAAAAATAATAGGAGAGAAGTAAATATGAAGATGATGTTATAGGAATGCAGTTAGAAGCCTGAGTAGATCATAACCCACTATGGATAACATGAAACGAGATACGTATTTATGGAGCAACTTGCAATGTGAAACAGACTGACTGATTGTAGTGGCTAGGCTTAGGCTTGGTAAAAGTACTTCCTGGCAGTTGGGAGACACACAGATGATGATCAAACTAAATGTAAATTATGTGATCAGCTATGGTCACTCTCTGAACACTATGTGCTTAATTGTCCACTTATTGAGGAATACAGAGACAGACAGTATAATAACCTATGTGACATGTCAAGATATCTTATTAATGAAAATAAGATACCAGATATACTAAGCAAATTTTCCTAAATTTGCCGATTAACAGATAAGTGAACTATAATATGTAAGAAATATAAAACCCATATGTATTCCTGTTAACCTTTTTGGGGCCCACCTGAGTTCCTAGGCCTTTTGTGTATCCATATGCTCTGGTGCTACCGTCCTCAGGATGGATATGGGGTGCACAATAAACTAGCCACTTCGGTGGCAAAATCTAAAAAAAAAATCTGAGGCGCATTAAATGTCGTATATTACGTTAATATAAACATTTTCATTAATTCATCTACAATATTTTTTTCAAAATTATATACGTAATGAACATGCTACGTAACACATAAACATGATAAATACACCCCACAGTAGAATAAATTAACATAAATATGAGATGTTAGGTGCAGATGAATGTACATGAACCATAACCAGATACGTTCATCTGTTTGTTTACATCCTCCGCATCTCTCTCCTCTCTCATTTACTTGTTCTCTCTCTATCTCTCTCTCTCTCTTGTTCTTGCTCTCTCTCATTCTCTCTCTCTCGTTCTCTCTCTCTCATTCTCTCGTTATCTCTCTCTCTCTCGTTCTCCCTCTCTTGTTCTCTCTCTCATTCTCTCTCGTTCTCTCTCTCATTCTCTCATTCTCTCTCTCATTCTCTCTCGTTCTCTCTCTCTCTCTCTCTCTCTTCTTTATTCATTTTACCTCTCACCCTACATTAAGACAACAAATATTTTAAAGTAAGTAATGAATGTACTGTGCATGCATTTTATCACTCTGGGGCGCTGTAAATGACGTAGTACGTATATTACATGTGGGTGGGGTGGCCTGACTGGCTACCATACCTCCTACACCTGACTTTTTACAAATAAATATTACTCACCTCTCTCCCTACATTAAGACTACAAATATTTTATGGTAAGTAATGGGTATACTGTATATGCATTTTATCGCTCTGGGGAGCTTTAATGTCATAGTATATTACGTGTGGGTGGGATGGTCTGGCTGGCTACCATACCTCCTACATCTGACTTCTTACAATAAATACTACTCACTTCTCACCCTACATTAAGACTACAAATATTTTAAGGTAAGTAATGAGTGTACTGTGTGTGTATTTTACTTTTTGTTTTTAATGCCTAGTTCTATTGCTAACTTAATATATGTTAGTGTAAACTTGTTATCTGGCATTTACATACATTTATAAGTGGAGGGAATATTTTGAGGAATTGTTAAATGTTGATGAAGATAGGGAAGCTGTGATTTCGTGTATAGGTCAAGGAGAAAACATCTGTAGATGAGGAAAGCCAGTTGTGAGTGTGGGGAAGTTTCGTGAGGCAGTAGGTAAAATGAAGGGGGTAAGGCAAGCCGGGATTGAGGGATAAAGATAGAAAATGGTTAAAAGCAGGTGGGGATATAGTTTTGGAGTGTTGTGCAATTAATTTAATAAATGTATGGAAGAGGGTAAGGTACCATAGTAATTGGCAGAATGCATGCATAGTTTCCTTGTAATAGAAAAGGAGAGGCAAGGGGATAAAAGAGAGTCAAAAAATATAGGGGAATAAGTCTGTTGAGTGTACCTGGTAAAGTGAAAGGTAGAGTTATAATTGAAAGATAAGAGTAAGACGGAGAATAGGATTAAGCAGATGAACAAGGAGGCTTAGGAAAGGATAGGGGTGTGTGACCAGGTTTTTACAGTGAAACATATAATGAACAGTATTAGATAAGGCTAAAGAGGTCTTTGAACATTTATGGATTTGGAAAAGGCGTATGACAGGTGGATAGGGGGCAATGGTGGCAGATGTTGCAAGTGTATGGTGTAGATGTAGGTTACTGAAAGCAGTGAAAGTTTTTACGAGGATATGTGAGGCTCAAGTTAGAGTAATGTAGGAAAGAGGGAAATTTTTTTCCTAGCAAAAGTAGCCTAGACAAGGATGTGTGATGTCACCGTGGTTGTTAATCTATTTATAGATGGGTTGTAAGAGAAGTAAATGCGAGGTCTTAGGCAAGAGGCCGTGGAGTAGAAAATAAAGAATCACACACAAGTGGGATAGTCCAAAGCTGCTCTTTGCTGATGACACTGTGCTTGGAGATTCTGAAAAAGAGTAAAGCCTGCAGAGATTGTGGATGAGTTTTAGTAGGGTTGAGCAAAGAAGAAAATTAAAGGTGAAATACAGGAAAGAGAAAGGTTATGAGGATAACAAAAGATAGGTGAGAAAGATTGAATATCAGATTGGGAGGGAGAGAGTATGGAGGAGGTGAACGTATTCAATATTTGGGAGTGGACGTGTCCGCGGATGTGTCTATGAAAGATGAAGGTGAATCATAGAATTGATGAGGGGAAAAAAAAAAGTAGTGAGTGGTGCACTTAGGAGTCCTGTGGAGACGAGAAAAAGAACTTTTGTCCTTGGAGGCAAAGAGGGGAATTGTATGAGATATAGTTTTACCACGCCTTATATGGGTGTGAAGCGTGGTGATGTTATGTTTTGCAGCGAGGAGAAGGCTGGAGGCAGTGAGATGTCATGTCTGAGGGCAATGTGTGGTGTGAAATATAATTCAGAGAAATTCATAGTTTTGGAAGTTAGGAGGAGGGCGGGATTACAAACTGTTGCCCCAGAGGGCTGAGGAAGGGTTGTGAGGTGGTCGGAAATGTAGAGAGAATGGAGCGAAACAGAATGACTTCAAGAGTGGACCATCTGTAGTGGAAGAAAGGTGGGTTAGGGGCCGGCCTAGGAAGGGTTGAGGGAGGGGGTAAAAGGGGTTTTGTGTGCGAGGGGCTGACTTCCACAGCATGCGTGAGCGCTTTGATAGGAGTGAATGGAGACAAATGGTTTTTAATACTTACACATGCTTTGGAGTGTGAGCAAGTAACATTTATGAAGGATTCAGGAAACCGGCAGGCCGGACTTGAGTCCTGGAATGGGAATACAGTGAGCCTCGCTCACTGAAGGAAGGGGTGTTGGTGTTGCAATTTAAAACTGTAGTGTAAAGCACCCTTCTGGCAAGACAGTGATGGAGTGAATGATGGTGAAAGTTTTTCTTTTTCGGGCCACCCTGCCTTGGTGGGAATCGGCCAGTGTGATAATAAAAAAAAAAAAATAATTATAAGTGGAAAAAATGGCGTTCTGCTTTCCAGTGATGTCCCCTTTCCGGTGGTAGCCTGGAACCTAACCTGCCATATAAGTGGGTCCCTACTGTATATCACTGTCATCCATGGGATCCAGATTAAAAATAAATGGGTTTTGTATCCATCCGAGCCACAGAAACCTCTTGATGATCCAAGTAACCTCAGTAAGACTGAATCAAGTCCTGCAAATGATGTTTCATTTCAGTCACAATGGACAGTTCTTTTTCTACTCCAGAAGCCTCATTGAGTGAATGGAAAATGGCAAAATTTCCATTTTAAGTGTGATATCTAAATTGGAAGTTTTTAGTGGCTGACAACTTTTTCATGGTAGTGATCATATTCATTTCTGTTCCTTGGATGGAAGTGTTAAGTTCATGCAGTTTAGTCTCGTACCCCCAGCTTTGCTGTCTCATACCCCCTAAGGGGTACAGGCACCCTTAGTTAAGAACCACTGGTATACATACAGTAGTATTAATAGTAGTAGTGGTGGCAGTAATGAATGAACCATACACTGACTATGACTCTCATACCTAAGGTAGTAGGTATGATAAGTCATAATTTAAAACACCATATCAAATATTAGAGGAACTCACCTGTTTCAGAACTTGTTCAACAAAATTCTTGTAAACTTCATCAACTGCTTTTTCTAGTGCTGGGGATTCTGTATCTTGTGCGTATCGACCTCTAGAAAAGCGAGGAAGACAGGAAATGTGAAGCATGATATTGATGTTGCTAATTGAGTAAAATCACGAATGTCCCATTCCCGTCCTAGACTTGTGATCAGTTGCCGTGTGACTTCCCTCACTTCTACAATATTTAGCGTCACCTGGAAATTAAGATTATAGAATAATCAACCAATCAGTTTACAGTACAGTGTTTAGTGCATATGTTATTCAAAGTTGTTATTAATCAATTGCATTAAATGCTCTTGTTCAGTATGAAGGTACTTTTTTTTTTTTTTTTCAACAAGTCGGCCGTCTCCCACCGAGGCAGGGTGACCCAAAAAAAAAAAAGAAAGAAAATCCCCAAAAAGAAAATACTTTCATCATCATTCAACACTTTCACCACACTCGCACATTATCACTGTTTTTGCAGAGGTGCTCAGAATACAACAGTCTAGAAGCATACACATATAAAGATACACAACATATCCCTCCAAACTGCCAATATCCCAAACCCCTCCTTTAAAGTGCAGGCATTGTACTTCCCATTTCCAGGATTCAAGTCCGACTATATGAAAATGAAGGTACTACTGAGTTCAATTCCATTATCAGATACTACGGGCAGGGCCCCACTTTACAGTGTTCCACTAATACAGCAGTTTTCAATTATACCTATTCTTCATTTATTCAGATTTCCTATAATAAATATATTCACCACTCACTATAAGCTAAGGATGGAAACACAGTGGAACCACGGTTTTCGTTTGCTCTGGTTTTCTTCGAATTCAGTTTTTCATGACTTTTTGCGTCAAAATTTTGTCCCAGTTTTTGTTCATCACCTCTGTTTTCGTCGAGTTGACAGTGGTCCGCTGTACCAAATGTATCTGCCCGCACCCACACAAACCATTCCATGAATTCTGAGTCAGTCTGGCTTTGTGTCTCATCAGTAGAGGGTGGTGGTGGTTGTGATTGTGGTAGAGGGTGGTAGCGATTGTGATGGTGGTAGAGGGTGGTAGTGATTGTGGTAGAGGGTGGTAGTGATGGTGGTAGAGATAATCTCTCCTCCCTCTTCCCTCCTCGCCATCTTCCATATGCCAACAAGAGTCTTCAATAAAGGTGAAAGTGATGTTAAATGTTCATTTATCCAATTCATCAGACCTTTATATTTATTTCTCATTGTTTTCCATATGTAAAACTATAGTTATTCTCTATATAATGTATTTTTTGTTAATACTTTTGGGTGTCTGGAATGGATTAATTATTTTTTATTATTATCACACTGGCCGATTCCCACCAAGGCAGGGTGGCCCGAAAAAGAAAAACTTTCACCATCATTCACTCCATCACTGTCTTGCCAGAAGGGTGCTTTACACTACAGTTTTTAAACTGCAACATTAACACCCCTCCTTCAGAGTGCAGGCACTGTACTTCCCATCTCCAGGACTCAAGTCCGGCCTGCCGGTTTCCCTGAACCCCTTCATAAATGTTACTTTGCTCACACTCCAACAGGACGTCAAGTATTAAAAACCATTTGTCTCCATTCACTCCTATCAACACGCTCATGCTACCTGCTGGAAGTCCAAGCCCCTCGCACACAAAACCTCCTTTACCCCCTCTCTCCAACCTTTCCTAGGCCGACCCCTACCCCGCCTTCCTTCCACTACAGACTGATACACTCTTGAAGTCATTCTGTTTCGCTCCATTCTCTCTACATGTCCGAACCACCTCAACAACCCTTCCTCAGCCCTCTGGACAACAGTTTTGGTAATCCCGCACCTCCTCCTAACTTCCAAACTACGAATTCTCTGCATTATATTCACACCACACATTGCCCTCAGACATGAGGGCAATGTGTGGTAATGTATTCTAAGGTAAGTAATTGTCTACTGTATGTGTATTTTTAGGCCTAGCTTTATTGCTAACTTAATATATGATAGTATAAACATGTTATCAGGCTTTTGTATGCATTTGAAAGTGAAAAATGGCTATGATTTACTTTAAAGTGATTTTCACTTTACAGCACTAGTGCAGAACCTAACCTGCTGTATAAGCGGGGCCCTCCTATATAGTATACTATTCACATATTGACTATGAATGTTGTGTACAAAACCAGCCATTTTATTTTGTCAAGGTTTTGGATTATTATTATACAGTGTTCCCCCGACTTACAAACAGCTCCCAACTCGAACAATTATGTAAGTGTATTTTTGTAAGTGCTACTGTAAGTGTATTTTTGGGGGTCTGAAACGGACTAATCTAATTTACAATATTCCTTATGGGAGCAAATTCGTTCGGTAACGGCACCGGAACAGCCTTCTGGAACGAATTAATATCGTAAGTCGGGGGTCCACTGTATTTTATTTTGGTTGACTTTGGGAATAGCTGGAGTTTTTTTTTTTTTTTGAGCTAACCCCCTTTTTGGGTAAACCAGGCCTTTCCCAGGCTTATTGAACCCCAAAACATTTAATCTTCCCGAAAACAAAATTAATATAGTAACTAATAATTTTGGGTGGTGTTTTCTATTAAAAAAATTAAGTTACCTGCAAAAGACTTTTTCTTGCTGGTGATCGGTCTGCAAGGAGGCAAAACATGCGAAACAGTTTGAAGACGGCCTCCTCGGAAAACACAGGAAAATGTCGGTTTAGAACTGTGCCACGGCCCAGGAGCCAAAAATTGTGTTCTAGGGTGTCATGGTGCTTCTTGAGTTCTCCATATGGTGTTGAGCCATCATCTGCTTCCGCCAATACCTATGTTGTGTACCGAAAAGGTGGGCCTATAACTTAACAAATAGAAGATGTAAATATTTTTCAAGCAGTAGAATTTATCATTTTAATGGCACACACTGAAAGGAAGGACAATAGGCAGGTATTGAGGAAAGACAATAGATATTTTATTAGTCTTAAGATAAGACTAAGTTTGCCCGAAATGCTCTGCATGCTAAGGGGTTTTTTGGATACACACTTAAATGTCGCCCATCTCTGTACAAACATTGTATCATGCTAAAATAATCTCTTGAATCTACCCACTGTTGGCTAGACCAAACAATGGGTAGATTCAAGTGATTCTGTACCTATTGTTTGCTCTAGCAAACAATAGGTACAGAAAGCAAGCAAAAAGTATAAAGCCAAAAAAGTACAGAGGAGTAACTAGTAAGTACCTTGGGCCAATATGTAAAGTCCAAACAATAGGTTCTAAGAGCATGCAATAGGTAAGAGGTAATGCAAAACAATCACTGAGGAAAATAAGTACTGCACCCACCTCATGGGTAAGGAAGTAAAGATACTGCTCAAAATTCAGGTGTTTACAGCTGAGATATTCTTCAATACAGTTTTCCACATGTCTGTCCACCCTGAGGAGCACTCCCACATTCTGTGTCAGCACCTGTGCAACAAGTATTATTATTATTATTATTTATTATTATTATTATTATTATTATTATTATTATCACTGTTACTACTACTACTAAATACTCCTACAACCAGTAACTACTGCTAACTTCTACTACTACTACTGGTAGGAAGCACTACAGCACCTGGGAAAAATGGCAGGCAATCAGATTTGAACGGAGGAAGAGTAAGTAATTATTCAGGGATACACAAATACAGTTACATAAATTATATAAAAGCACATATGTGTAAGAGCCTATTATTATTTAT